AATTGAAAGAAACCTTAAAATAACACGATGCAAACTGAGCATTGGTTATAATATACGAGAAGCAAACAAAAGAAGACACAAACAACGAACGCGCATTAAGACACTGGAATTTGTGGAGATATTACCAACGATAAAATGGAAAGATTAAGGCCATTAGAAATTTCAAGATGCATTGTTCATGAAGTGGTAAGAATCGGAAGAAATGAGCGTACAAAGAACTGCGTATCACCAATAACTGATACGCATTTAAAAAGGAAATTGTGGGAAAAATAAGATGTTTTGTATTGGTGTTTCAAACATATATAAAGTAAATTGGTGATGATGATTCTTTGTCACTGTTTCTTTCAGTTCGCGAGTTACTTTGGTCCGAATTTGATTTTTCCCCTTTTTAAGGTTGCCCCATGAGTTCGTGGTAACTGTCAGCGGGTATATGCAGTAGGAAGCTACGTATGATATATGGGTGGGTGGTATTTTGCAGTGCGAATTGTTCCTCTTATCAGAGATAAACGTTTCAGAGAGCAAGTCAAAACGATTTGTTAATAACCTAAAAATTTACTCATTTAACTATTATTTTATAACACCAAGGCTAACAAAGATTGACGTGTTCATAGATTACAGCGTCATTTCAGAGTAAAATCAGCTTACAACATTCTTCAGGCTTGGCTTTTAGCAACAACAAATGAAATCAAAGTTGTTGTCATTCAATGCACTTGTATTTGACCTCCAGATATTTGTATGTTCCGGGACAGGGATCACCAAATACTCGGTTGCTTGCTAGTAGCCTACAGCGCGCTTTGTTGTTGCATTTGCCTTGCACAATAGAAAGTGAATTTCCAGCATGGCAATTGGTGTCCATATTATGCTTACGTGGCAAGCCAGTACGCGAGAGGTACAAGCACTTCTCAAAATCATTTCTGCCATAGGACGCTTGCATCACGCTGATTATTTCTCCATCTTCGCAGCTGATGGTTTTTCTGTTTCTGGGGCTTTCACAAATCATGATGGACATTGCATTCTCTAAATCCAAACATTACATTAACATATATAAAAAAATAATTGAATGAGGTCTTTCGCAATATCCACAATAATCAATAGCGAGGTAAGTGCTATTAGGCGA